AACGTTTGAGAATGTATCAAGTCCACTATCAGATGCTGGGAATCATGACAACTAATCTGGCAGACGACTTTGGACTAGGTGCGTTCTACATGGTCTCTCTGAAAACAAGACTAATTTGCGACCCACTTCTATCAATCGAAAGGAGACTGCGACCACACCAGAATGATCAAATAGTTCTTCAGGCGGATAAGGTAGGAGCGACGGTTGTAATGGACAGGAAACAGTACGCGGATAAAATGGAAAGTAGTCTTGGTGACCGGAACACTTATTAAATATTAAGCAAGGATGCAACCACGAATATCAACGGTACACTGAAGAATATGCTCAAGGAAATGGATAATAATGGGAAAAGTGACAGATGGATGATGAAATCTTTAAGCAAAAATGACGCAAGACCACCGACAGCCTACGGACTACCGAAGATACGCAAGGAAGGAAATCCGATAAGACTAATAGTCAACAAAAGCACGGAGCAATGCATAAACTAGCGAAATTTATTTGCTTGAAGCTCAATAAAGTAATTGACATACTCTCGAATACCGTCAAAAATTCATATGAATTTTCTCAAAGGATCCAGAACCTTGGGTTGGTGGGGTAGGAACTGTTGGTGAGCTTCGATGTACAATCCATGTACACAAACATCTCAGGCGAGAAGGCAGTAAGCGCCATGCTGGCGATATTGGAGCGATTAGAGGACATTCTGGAGACAGAACGGATACGGAAGGAATCGTTAACACGACTGAACAACCTGACAGTGAGGACCACATATTTTACATTTAACGGCAGTATCTACGAGCAAATATTTGGACTACCGATGGGATCTCCACTCTCACCTCTTTTGCCAAATGTGTACATGGAGAAGTTGGACAAATCCAACATTGACCCTAATCAAAGCAAGCAGTACCACAACATTTGTGGGTCGGCACACAAGAGACAAGGGCATGGCAAGTCATAGACTTGGTATTAGATACAGAAAGAGGATAGACGCGGCGGAGACTGGAGCTAGTTGGCTGACAGTTTTACCAGATACGGGGTTCATGTAGCAAAGACGTGACCATGACACTTACTCAGAGACTTTAGCCTCGAATCCATCACTCAAATGCAGGGGGTGGGTGAATTACGCCTCGTTTAGGACAGATGGGCGGGCAGGGTTTAATGTAATACAGACAGATAGCAGGAAGATAGCAGACGGATTCTACGGAGCAAGAGAGAGACTCTGATACGACCGAGGGAAGCAGGACTACGTAACTATATGACAGACTCTGGTCATCATTCCCAGCACAAGGGTTTAGGGTGTGATTAAGACAGCGTGTAGTGTGAAGGGTTTTTATGAATTCCGCTTAAAGAAGAACAACACACTACGGCTAAATGGACAAGTAAAAAATTGTGACAGTGAAGGTGTGATAGGAGGTTATATGAAATGTGAATATGCCAGGGCAGAAGGGCAGATACCACAACTGTTCAGCACATATTTGGTCGAAGGATGGGCTTCACTTGTCTCTTTGACGCGCTGTTGTATGGTGCTAAGAATGGAGAGACTTACAGATGATGCCGACTATGATACCGGCGAAATATTTGGGAATGTACCACGTCCAGTGTCCGACTTATGAAAGTATTCAGCATGTAATGGCATCCGGACTAGGTGCATTCCTTTAAATCTTCGTGCCAATATGACCAAGTTGTGAAAACAAGGTCAAAGAACCTCTATTCAATAAAAGGAGACTGCGACCACATAAGAGGCCATAGCCTCTTGGTCTTCGTACTTTTGTTTAAACTTGAGTTGACTTCGAAAACATTTCTTTGCTTCCAGTTACATGTTGTTAATTTCCTAGGTGTTTACTCTGTATAGACTTACATCATTTTCCGTAAGCGAAATCGACAGAAGAGAGTTTGGATCGCGCGACAGAAAAATAACGCAGGCACTCATTCGACCTTCAGCATCAAAAATAGGCTTCACGTGAATTTGATAAAAGCCGGGTGAAGAAGCTCCATCATTCTCGGTTAGGGCATCAGTACTTTCAGCGACCGGATCTGCGACAGGCAACGTTTTGGTGATGGCTCCTTTAAGCCCAGTTGAATTGGAACAATGAGTGGGTGTATTTGAGCTAGCGTCAAGCTGATAATTAGGAGGAATTTTGTCACAATATAAAAAAATAAAATATTAAGTGCAATTCATGAGCATTATTTCCTAACTTAATTAGTTTCTCTAGTTCATTTCATTATTTTAATAGATTATTCAAACGTATGTAACCTTTCGTCTCCTTATTTAATTGGGTAAAAGCACCGTGAATGTCTGTTTCCGCGTGCTACGTGCCTCTTCAATTAGTTGATTTATATTCATTTAAATATCCCATATTTTAAGTGTACTAAAAATCCTGTGAAATTGTATCGTTAAATCTTCCATCCTATTTGAAGGGTTAGATGGAAAAGATGAGTACATTTGCTTTATCGGAACTTGAATTAATATTTCCGTAATGTTGCTATTTTCTACTTACGTAAAAGAGTGTCGTGAAAAGAAAAGTAAGCTAATCTTATTGAAAAATGGCAATAGATTCTTGTACATCTACGGCAGCTTGATTTACTCAGGGAGTTCACGATGACACGGTCGTCAAAATATCTACATTTGGCTCAAGTTGCAACATTCAAATCTTTATAAGTCGCAAGTTGGTCTTGCTGTCAGGGCGACTTAGTAGAACGCACTTAGTCCGAACTCGTATGCCATAGGGGTTGTCATGATTCCCAGCATCAGACCGTGGACATGGTACATTCTCAAACGTTTCGCCGGCATCGTAGTCTCCATCATCATTGAGTGTTGCCATTCTCCGCGCCATTCTCTACGAACTCGCCAAAGAGACAACAGGATTCAATCGCTCGACAAAAGTTCCGCGGAAAACGGTTACATTATCACTCGTCTTTGTGTCCTGGCCTATCTATACACTCTTTACACTCGAATCCCACTGCCGTCCTACCACAACTTCTCACTTGTTTACATTCCACTCGTAAAATTGTGTGCCCTTTTGTGGCAATTCTAGTGTGGCCCCATCACACTTGCTATTCACCCCGAACCCTCTCTTTCTATCGGCTGATCCGACTCGGGCCTCCAATCCGGATCACCTCATTGTCTCGTGGATCCGTTCCTTCTCTTTCTGGTTGACCGATTTCACTCGGTTCCAGTCCCAGCGTGCATTTCACTCAAGGCGCTATTTCTCAAGGCCCTAGAAGCACGTACACTTCTGCTTCACTAAGCAGAGCGCCAAGACTGTGATTCTCATGTTTGCAGATATCAGGCCTTCCCTTCATGGGTCGTCTCCCTGATTAAACCCATGTTACCTGAGCAAACTGTGGACGTCTATCTCTCATCGCATGCAGCAGCTCAAGTGGATTTCTAGTACATTTGGGCCATGACGTCGAATTTCTGTGACAGTATGCTTATCCGTCCGCATAGCGTCCTGACTACCAGTTCCCCAATGTTGTACTGATTTATTCGCTTGATTGCCGAAAACCCCAGCTCCCATTTTTCTCATCGCGATCCCTTTTCCTCCATTTAGCGATAGATCCTTGACTTGTGAAAAGTGTTGATTTCTCTTTCGTAGCCACCAGAATATTCCATTTCCTCAACATTGGCCGTAGATATTTGTGCTAGTTTGAAGGTAGGCATATCCACTCTTGTGAATCCTTCATCGTCCTTACTTTTCTTTCATAGTCCCCGTTCTAAAATCGATTTTTCACGGCCCGTATGTTTCTTTGTGTCACTTTGTTTGGGTAGCCATTGCCGAGGAAGATCCTAGTCACTTTGTCCAGCTCCTCGTCCCAGAAATCTGCATCCGTTAGGCGTAGGCTTTGGAAGATTATGCTCCTCATTATTCCAATCTTTAGCCTGTAATTGTGATGGGACCGGAAATTTAGTATTATCTCAGCATAGGACTTCTTTCTGAACAAGTTCTTTTCTAGTGTTCTATTAGAACGAATCACGTCAACGTCCAGAAACAGTAACCGCTCACCTTCCTCTACTTCCATCGTGAATTAAATTTTTTCACCATTCTGGTTTACAAACTTCAGAGACTCTTACAATATTTCTCTTCCATGTGACCAAAGTGCGATACGTGGTTGATTAATTCGCACTTTGGTCACATGAGAGAAGAAAACTGAAAAAATTTCTAAAGTTAGAAAAAAAAATGATAAAAACATTCAATTCATGATGGAAGTAGAGGAAGCTGAGCGGTTACCGTTGCTGGATTTTAAACTGATTCGCTCAAATGGGACGCTCAAAAAGAAATTGTTCAGAAAGAATTCCTATGCTGGGATAATACTTACTTTCAAGTATCATCACAATTGCAGGCTAAAGATAGAATTAATAAGAAGCATGCTCAACTTTGGTGACCTGGCAGTCAGGGAGCTGGGCTGACGGATAAGCAAACCATCACATAAATTCGGATTTATGGCCCAAG